CCCCGATGCCCCGCGCTGTGTGCGGGCCCCTGCTTGCCCGTTGCTCAGCGGCACCTGCGGGCGCTACAGACGGGTGGGCCCTTTCTCCCCATGTTTGTTCTTTTAGATAGGGACTTCCAAGCGCCTGGTTGCCCCCATCCCCCAACCGGGGTATCGCCCCCCCGCCCCATGGTGCCGGGCTCGGGGCAACGTGCTGGGTGACAGCGCTGCGGGCGTCCCCGCTCCCCTCGCCCTTGATGTGCCCAATGTTTTATCTCTTTGCAGAAGAGCCTCTGTAAGTAATTGTCCCTTTCATCTCTGCCCCACTTGAAAACGCTGCCCTTGGGAGGCGAGCTGATAAAGTAAATGGAGACGTTAGTTTAAGAGTAGGCAATTGGGAGCAAGGTCTTCTAGGGCTAATTTTTTTTCTCCTTTGACTGCTTTTCGAGGGTCTTGGCCTCTCTCTCTCTGCCTGATCCTTTTCCAGCTCACAGAGCTGCTGCCGAGGCAGAAGGATCCCGCACACGGCTTTGGCAACCAGGAGCCTTAAGAGCCGGCAGCATAAACGAGCGTGTTATAAAGACACTATTGTATTGAAACAAGAGGTGTGTGGGGGGGGTAATTTCTCCATTTAATGCTTTCTTAATGGCTGGTTGGCAAGCGTAAGCACAGGCTTTTAGCTTCAAATAGGTATTTCTGCCCACGTAACATCTGGTTGAGCACATGAACTCAGAGGCAACAAAGGCTCTGCCAGGGCTTCCCAGTGGGGTGGGAAGACACGCTTGGGAGCTGAAAAGCGCCAGGAGAGGCGCAGAGCAGCCGTCCTTCCAGTACGGCCCTTTGCCCTTTTTGTAATGAAAATGCAGAATAGTTGCAAAATCCTTTGGGTTCTGAGCTCACCGCCCTGCCCAGGAAACTCTGCCTTGTGATGCAAAGTTTCATTGTTTTCCGGACAGCTCCGATTCCTAACGGAGAAGCTGCAATTACTGCCGTGCTTCGATCAAGGTGGATTTTGCTGCATGCTCTGCTCCCCGCCCGGGCAACACTGCACACAGCAAACCGCAGCAGCAGCTCGCACCTCCCGGGGCCCCACGCAGTTCCCTGCAGGGAGGGTTAATATTGCTAAGAACAGTGGTATTAAGATGTTCCCTGAAGTCACAAAAATACAAGCTCAGCTATTCGGGCTGAACAATTCTTTAAGTTCTTTCCCCTCTGAAAACCGGCTTTCCAGAGCCTGTCTGGCATCCCTGTCGGCAGTGAGCGGAGGACGAAGGGGGGCAGGGACCCTCCCAGGCTGGAGCTGACTCCCTGGGAGCTGGGACCCCCCAGCTGGAGCCGGGACCTGGCAGCGTTGACAGCAGCACAGCTCCTTCCTGCTGCAGGTGTCTGACGGCTTGGGGGGGGGGGGTAACCACAGAAACTGTGATTATTACAGAAACAAACTACCCATTTTTTCTGTTGCTAATAAAATACGTAAGTGCATTATTGACTCGCTGTCATGGTTTGATGGGCCTGCACCACTGGTGCTATGGCACCTGCTTGAGGGGCAGGTGCACCACCTGAAAGGTGCAGTAAGAGGGATACCGAAACGAACAGGCAACCGCAACCTAAGCAGATCCAGGATGGCAGTACAGGTGTTTGCATGGTGATGAACAGATTTACCACCACTACCAGTAAAATTGACAGTAACGTTTACCATCAAATAACGACTGCAGCAACAGCTATAACCTGTGAACAGTGTAACTACTGTATGTATATATACATCAGAATTTACAAAGATGGAATAGAGGTATCATGTGTATGTACAGGCAGTACTAAAGTAACTTGAAATGAGCAGAAACACAAACCACATATAGAAATAAGAGGGCAGATGCCCAAATTATTACTATAGTGAAGAAAAACTGAAGTTTAATTTTAGCCATCCTACTCATTCCACCTGACAGGTTCTTATTTTATAAAGAAGCAGACTGCTTGCTGATAATTTATCATCTAGTGTTATAATTTGATGCCCAACAGCACAAACATAATGGAGGAATTTCGTACAATTTAAGCAAAGGCTTCAAAAATAACGGAAAGACCATAAACGTTCTGTTTGGAGTATTAGCAACATGCAAAACCAGAAGTTATTTTAGCGTGAACAAAAAAAGGTGGGGGGGGGGGGGAGAAAACTCTACATTTAAGAAGAGAATTAAAACAAAAATTATTTTATTTGCTTGCAGAAGGATCCAAAGATTTCCACTGAATTTTAAAATTAATCAGCTTTATGCAAACAATAATAAGGCAGACTTACCAGCAAGTATTTTTCCTGTCCATATACATAGACTGTATTAATGGCATAGTATGATTTGTGTTCCGCACGTATTTGCCTCTGTCTCTGGAAACAGAGTTTCACATTAGACAATAGCAACTTTCCCCTCTCTAAATTAGATTTGCACAGCTGTCTTCCATCTGTCCCCAGTTTAGTTTTGCAAGTACATGCATAGCTATACTCCATGATGAACAGGTAATTATGCAACGCAATATCCATTTGCCTGTTTGTTGATCTACAAAACTATAATCCATGATAGGACTCTCCAAACACATTAATAATCAGCAAAGCTCTAAGGTCGACAGGGTTGTGCTTTCCAAAATTAACTCAAAGCATGCATGTGTGAATGTAAACAAAGGTCTCTTACTATTAGATTTCTTCCAAGAAGAGCCTGAAGAACTCCACTTTTCCCACAGCCCTTCATTCCAACAACATTGCATCGGAAGACATTTCTTTGAGTCTGTTTTTTCTGGAGGTCTATTTTTTTATCTCTAGTTACTTTTGAAAAAATACAAATATTTTTCACAAGATGCACATGTGTGTATGTTTGTAAAAACAAGAGATCTGAAACTGCTGTGTTGTTTAACAGAGGTGGAACCATTTCATTAGTATTTAATTTTACTGATTTAATTAAAAAAAAAAAAAAATCGTTGCTGCTCTTCCACTCTGTCCCTGGTGGCAGCAAACCCCCTCCTCTCCGGCATTTCGCAACAGAGAGGGATGTGCAATTGCCAGTGGGTGGTTAGCAGCAAGTCTCTCGCTTGGTGGTAATTAACCCAGGAAGTATTTACCCATGTGAATTTGACAACTGGGCCGTGCTTTTTGCGTTTTGTTCCTGATGCTGCAGGTTACCTCGTCTCGCTTGGCTTTGGTGCTGGCCGTTTCCATGGCAACGGAGCATGCGCTCGGGTTTGCACTGACCCCTTCGAAGGTACTTGATGGCCTTTAGTGAACTGCGTTTGTGATAGACGTCTGTACTGGCCTTTTGAAATAGGCGAGCTGTAAATTCCATATTTTTAATTGCAAATGACATGGGAGCATGAGATGTATTTGTGTGACTAACGCACTGTTTTAAAATATAACTGTAAAATGTAATTACAAAATATCAATGAGAAAAGTGTTGGAAATATAAGCATTTTTTGAGCATTCAGCCTGGGCGAGGGAAGAGGTGCTGCTGGGCTTTCGGGGACGCTGCTGGCACTTGGGCGAAGGGCCGGTTATCCTGAGCCTGTGCAAAGACGAGCCCAACTCCGCTTCCCCCGGGCGCATCTGGACCGCGGACTGAAGCAGGACTGGGCACGCGCTTCTGCGCTCTGCCTGCGCCTCCTTCCTTGCCCCCTTCTTTCTTTGCCTTTGTCGTTTGCCTACCTGCGAGGAACATGCCGTAATTAGAAACGAAAGACTGCTCTTTGAGAACAAATACAGATTATTCTGACAGGATTCCTCTCTTTGCCAAACCTTGCATTACTGGTGTCTAGAAAAATCCTGCAGTAACGTGATGAGGTTGGAAGCCAGTAGCAGAGGAAGAGGCTCAGAGGAAACTGCATATGTTCCTCCAGAGAAAAAGCAGATATACATACATATGTGTGTGTGTGTGTGTGTGCATATATGTGTGTGTATATACGTACACATATATAAATACATATACACATATGTTTGTGTGTGTGTGTATATACATATATATATGTGTATATACAAGGGAACCCACCCATAGGCCTGCAGTGTCCCGAGGCTCCTGGGCGCAGAGACGCGGACCCGGCTGGGATTTGCATGCAGAGCATCCGATGCACATTGGAAAGACTTGGGGCTCCAGCGTGGGCCAGGCTCTGCTCGGAGCAGGCAGCAACGTTCCCACGTCTCAGCGCGCGGGACGGGGCTGCGCTCGCAGCAGAGGCCGCGAAGCCCCGACCGGAGCCTGCCTGTGCCGCGTCCCGCGCCAGATCCCGGTCCGTTACCGCCTTTCGTGGCAGGTGCTGCGGTTTCTGC